CTTGGATTCCTTTCGACTTGATTCCCCTGGCCAAGACCTAGTTGTACAGAGCACCTACCCTCCGGACTGCTGTCCCAGCAGTAAAATCGAATAGGTTTGAGGGCCTTGGTTGGCTTGGTTCTCACAGTGAAAGGCCTGGCTTTTCCTTAGTGTGTGTGAGGCCCCCTGGGTGCCAGCCATTTGTGTCAGCTCATTTTTCTTGGCCTCAGTTTCTTGCTCTGCACCTGTGGTTCAGTCTTGTGTTTTGGAGTTTGTGAGAATGGTGTGAGATCTCCGTAGCTGGGGCTGTGGACATTGACGCGTCGTTTGGACAAAGCTCAATGTCCAAAGCTGAGGTCCTGGCCTTGGCTTTGCTGTCTCTGGGCCTGACTGTCCAGGGTTCCCCCAGACACCACATAGCTCAGCAGGACTTTAAAAAAAATTAAAAAAAAATCTTTTTATTTATTTATTTGGTATAGTGTCTTGCTACTCCGCTCAGACTTATAGGGATCCTACTGTCTCAGTCTCCCTAGTGCTTCGATTACAGGTACATGCCACCAAGTTCAGTTTCAGCAGCTGGCTCGGCACAGGGCTGGCATGGCATGTCATGCTGGGGATTGAACCCGGGTCCTTGCTCTGCCAGGCAGCTGCTTAGAATGCCGAGCTATCTCCTCGGCCCCTCAGCAGGACTTTTGGGGGCCATCCTCGTCAGATTCATTTGGTCATGCCTCAGAGGGGCAAGGAAAAGACGGATGCTCAGCCTCCTGCAGTGCACTGGGCAGCAAGGGGTAGCGAGCCCAGTGTCGGCAGTGTGAACAGCAGCGCTGCCGGGTGGATGGATGGGCAGCACCTGTAAGACGTGCCCTAGGGTCCCTTCTCGTGACACATGGCCAGGGGACCCTGACAACAGGACTTTTTATGTCCCTCTTCCTCACGCCAGGTTGGCAGTCATAAGCCTTCTTTTCTGTACCCTGAACTTGAAATGGTGTGGCAGGTGCCTTCAGGAGGAATTCCTTGCATAATCCATCAGTCAATCAGCAGGCACTCACCAGAACATCTGTTCGGGGTTGGGTGCTTGTTGAGCAGATGCACCTTGCTAACTTGGTTATGGAGTTGGCGGCCTCTGGAAGCCCAGCAGGTTTCTCCAGGGACTGTCTTCCTCCAGTGTCCTCTGGGCCTAGCAGGGAGGCTGTTTAGAATGTCAGGAATCAGCCCCTGTGACCTTGAGAGGTGGCTGCACGGAGATGGTGCCCAGGAGTAGGAATCGCCCAAAGAGGTCTCCAGCAAAGCCGGGCGCCACTGCATTCCTGCTGCAGGCTGCCGTGCTTCCCGCTTCACAGTGACTTTTGTGTTGGGCAGCTCTTGGCAGCTTTCGGTCAGGGGATGCGGAGACCCCAGCAAGGGCGCTTAACCTCGCAGCTGTGCTGAGCAGCTGGGCGCTTCCTCCTGGCGAGGACTGGGAGGGCTCTTCTGTGATGACGGTGACTGCCCAATGGAAGGGCAAGGGACAGACACTGCGGCTGTTCTGGGACTTCTGATTTGAGGGCTAGGGGTCAGCCTGGGGGGGTGCCTGTGACCCCAAGGACAGCTCTGCTGGTGGATCGTGTGCCTGTGGTTCATCTTTAGGTCATGAGGTGTGAACATCTAGTGGGCCCAGGGGTTTCCTGAGGCTGGAACATTTGGAATCCTGATGAACCACAGAGCAACGATTACCTTTGATTTTTTTTTTTTTTCCTGCTCAGGCTTCGGCTGACTCAGTTACTGAAGGCTTTTTAAAAATCTGCCAAGTGGGTCAGATATAACTATGACAAGAGAGGGACTTCTCAGCAAATGTGCACCTACCTCTCATCAGCCAGCCAGTCCTTGCCCACCTGTTGGCGAGGGGTGTGGGAGCCCCCCGCCTGTTTCCAACTTGAGATGGCACCCTGTCTGGATTGCCTTCTGGTCCTGTTGGATGGCACGGCAGGTGGAAGAGAGGAGGAGGTGAGACCCATTCTCACTGTACTCTCTGCCATTATCCTCAGGGATACCTTTTAATGACTTTTTGTTTTTGAGAGAGGTTCTTGCTTTATGGTACAGGCCATCCTGAAACTCAGTATGGAGTGCAGGTTGGCCTTGAACTCATGATCCTCCTGCCTCAGCCTTCCAAATGGTGGCATTACAGGTGTGTGTTACCATGCATGGCTACCTGTAGTGATTTAAGGGTAGTAATTTAAAGGTCGTGTATCCATTGTGCATGCATTATCTTCCATCTGTGATCCATGCATCCATCCCTGTGTCCTCCATCCATATATATTCTCTTGACCAATCCTTGCTTTATCTGTTTATTGCTATGCCCATCCTCCACTCACCCATTCATCCATCTTCTCTCCATGCATTTTCAATCCTTCCTTCTCTCACTCACCTATATATCCATCCATCCGTGCATCCATCCATTCGTGCATCCATCCATCCATCCATCCATCCATCCATCCATCCATCCATCCGTGCATCCACGCAGCCTCCGTCTGTTGACCACAGGAGTTTTAAAGACTTTCTCTCTCTGTCCTTGGTGTACCTCCCTCCCCCATCCATCAAGCCAGGGGTCTTGTTCTCTGAGAAGACCTGCCTCAGCCCTGGGCTCTTACCTGGCCCTAGGGTTTCCCTTGCTTTTAAACACTTGCTAATTTCTGTTCATTTGTGCTTAGTAAATGCTTATTGATATGTGATTTGGGGCCATTTATTGAGCGTGGAAATGGATGTTTTCATTTTTGTTTGACCTCTTGAGATATATGAGCAATCAAGCAGATTCTGGATTGCCTCCCTTAATTTAGGAAAGCAAGAGCATTTGTTAATTAATGATTAGTTTTACTATAGTGGACCTATATTTTTGTATAGTTTAAGTACATGTTTCAGTTCACCTGGGCCCCCCCCCCCTTAATCTCACTGTACAATGTTTTTATAGTCACTTTGGAAGGTTTAGAGTAGAGAAGGAAGTTTGGTGGCACTGGCAACACAGAGACATAACCAGAGTTCTAGCCTGGCTTGGCCTGTGAGTTCCAGCGGGACCTCTGAGCCTCTCCTAGTTTATATTTGGGAACACGTTGTTTCTAACACTTCTAAAGCTGTGCCGTTCAATGTCTGGGCTCCCATTTTCTCTGCGTTAGTGATGTAAGGGTGTGTCCATGACCGATCAGATTCTTTGAATGAACTTCCAGATTTAGAATTTCCAGTCAAAGGTGTGGTGATGTTTAAGGCTCTTTATTCATCATTGTAGGCCAGGGGGTCAAAGATGAACTCCCTCCCAGGGGAGGGCAGCCCGCAAGGCCATTTCTTCATAGTACAAACACCATACAGAAAACGAAATGACCGAGCGTTAGAATGCACGCTGTGCCGTGAGGAAGCCTTACCGGAGAGTAACCATCGGTTACAGGTATGGCCAAGAGTGCCGGAGCTTCTCGAGTGACGTCGACTGATATTTTATCAGTGTCATCCTTCCTTTTTACAGAAGCAGGATCCCGCTACCATGGTGCGCAGCTGTGGCTTTCCCCGCGTTCAGCAGTGTGTCTCAGCGCTCTCCCCCATCTGGGCACACAGCTTGGTCCACCTCCATCATCTCCACCTCTCTGTAATCTTCCTTTACTCTATTTATTGAATAGTAACACATTTATGGGTTGATAATTTCGAAGTCATAAAGGGTTAGATATACAATGTCCAGTCCGCTTGCTACTTTCTAAGAATGCTAGTTTGTCTTTCCGAGAGTAAGTTTTATGCAAGCGGCATGGAAACGGCTACAGTAACTCTGACTCACAAACATCTTGGTCTGAGAGAATTGTTTATAAGACAGTGAGTCTTCTACAGTATACCTGAGAAAGCTTACAGCCCTAATGTTTGTAAGTCGGGGAGTTACTGTTTCTAGCAGTTTCTTCTTTTTAGACTCAAAGGGAAGCTTTTGCACAGTCTGCATCACCGCGGCTGCCACTGTCACTCTGTTCCGTGTGAGCAGACAGACGCCTCCGTTCTGTCTGCTGGTGTGCACGGCGCCGTGTCTCCCTAGGTCCATTTGGACCTCAGGAGTGGACGTTGGTCACTGTAAACCAGACTGCATCTATAAACTTACTATGTGTCATTTTGTATTAATGAATCTAACTTTTTAAGCAAATTTCTAAACATGTAACTTCTGGGTATAAAGGGGACACATTTGCAATTTGAGTAAGTATCGCCAAATAATTTTCATAGAAATTAAATGTCACCACCAATTTACAATGTCATTGCCCATTTCACCATGTTCACTCTAGGAGGGCATATTACCACATCTTTTGGTTTTTCCAGTCTGATAGCTGGGAGTAAAACTACATCTCAGTAGAGGTTTTTTCGTGAAGGACTAGGATGTAGCTCAGTGGCAAAGCACTTGGTTGGCATTTATGAGACCCAGTCTCTAGGACTGCAAAAAAAAAATTGATGACTTTTTAAGTTTTGATTTTTTAAATTTGTACCATCAGCATAATCAAGGTGGTCATGGCAGTTGTTCATTAGGCCAACGAATACTTGAGAAGACCAGCTTATAAAGAGGAAGGGTTGATTGGGTTTCACCATTTCAGAGATTCCAGTCAACAATCACTTGTTTCATTGCTTTGGGCCTGTGGGGAGTGCGCATTAATGTAAAAATGTGTTCTTACCTTCTGGCCAGAGAGGAGAAAGAGAAAAAGGAAGAAGAGGAAGGGGCAAGGTCCTCCTGAGGAGGCGCCCCGGGAGACCTGGAGATGCGCGCTAGTGGTGCTCCACCTCCTAAAGGTGGTGCCACCTCCCAGCGGCTCTGAGCCGGAGACCACGCCGTTAACGCTTGGGCTTTGGGGGATGCTTAAGCTACAAACGGTAGCTCTAGTGGGTGTAACCACCCCCAGAAGTTTCATCATGCTTCCCAGTCTTCTTCTTTCACTTCTTTCCTTTCCCACTGATCTACACAGACAACCACTGATCCACTTCCTGTCCCTTTAGACTTAACGTTTTCTGTATTTTTCTTCTCCTTTTAAATGTATCTGGTGCTCGCTTCAGCCGCACATATACTAAAATTGGAACAATACAGAGAAGATTAGCACGGCCCCTGTGCAAGGATGACACACGAATTTGTGAAGTATTCTATATTTTTTGAATAACTACTATGAAGACAACAATATGCAATGTATTAGTTACTATAACTATCCTACTAACCTGTTTTGAAACTGTCTCATTGCTATTTCTCATTAAAATTAATAAAAAATTAAAAAAAGAAAATTAAAAAAAGAAAAAAATGTATTCGATACAGGGTCTCCTTACGCAGCTCAGACTCATAATGATCCACCTATTTCAGCCTCCCCAGTGCTGGCCCAATTTCAGTGGCTGGCGCATTGCACCCAGGTCAGGGCCTGCTTGGCATGTAGTGCCAGGGATTGAACTCAGGACCTTGTACTTGCTGAGCAGGCGCTTATGCCGCTGAGACGTCGCTCCATCCTAGAGATGGAATAACTGGGGGTGCAGGCCTGCAATCACAGTGTGTGTCTTACGTCTCGTGTGCTTTTGGGAGTGGCCAGATCATAAGTGTGTGGTGCTGGATTTGTCCACGACTGGCTTTGCACGTTTCTGGGTGTGCATGAGGGACTTAGTGAAGAGGGCAAACCCAGCCCAGGTGTGGGTGGCAGCAGCCAGTGGCCTGGTAGCCTGGGTGGAATTAAAAGGGAAAGACAAAGAAAGCCCTACTGCCTCTTGCCTGCCTTGCCCTGGATGGTTTCTCCTCTGTGATGCCTCTCTGCCTGGACAACCTGCCTCGGAGCCAGCCAGCTAGACACTAAAACCTGCAAGCTGTGACCTCAAATGAACCCTCTGCTTGTGGATGTTGGGCACTTTGTCCCAGCAACAAAAAAGTAACTGAGATACTCACCACCCTGGGAGACTGAGTCAGGAGGATCACAGATTTGAGCTCAGTCTGGTCAGTTTAGCACCCTAGACCTTGTTTCAAAATAAAAAGGAAAAAGGGTTGGGGCTATAGCTGAGGGTGCAATCCCTGTGTGCAGTCCCAGTACGGTGAAGATGTAACTCGACAGCCTATACTTGTTCTTTTCCTTTTAAATGTTTTGGGCCAGCTTCTGTCACCCAGGAGGATTGTTCTGAGCTTCATCCATGCTGTTGCTCATATGAGGAGCTGTCTTACTCACTGTTTCGTTGCTGGGAAGAAATATCCAGCACTTACAGTTTAAGGGGCGAGAGGTTTATTTGAGCTCCTGGGTTTTCAAGGTTTCCGACCGTAGTCGCTGGCTCTGAGGCAGAAGCAGCAGGACACGGGCGCGGTAGTGGACTGCTGCTCCCCTTGTGTGGGCTGGGAAGCACAGAGGAGGAGAGATGCTCTTTCAGGTTGTGCCCCAGGGTCCTCCCTCTTCTTACCCCCAGGATGCAGTCACCTTCTAAAGAACCTGCCTCTAAAGTCATGAGGCTTTGGGGGGACGATCTAGGTGTGAATGATAACAATAGTGTGTTCTCTTTTATTGCTGAATAGTAATGAAAAAATAGGAATGGGCCATAATTTTCTTTTTGAGGTAGCATTTCATTATGCGGTTCAGGCTGGCCTTGAACTCACAGCAATCCTCCTGCCTCAGCCTCTGAGTGCTAGGATTACAGGTGTGCACCACCGTGTGTGGCTGGCCCATAATTTCTTTATCCAGGTGCCTCTTGATAAATGTTTGAGCCATGTCCAGGTCAGGGCTACCTCAAATAAGGCTGCTGTGAAGATTTCTACAGAAGCTGTTGCATGGGCTATTTTCTTTCTCTTGGACAAACGTCGAGAAGGAGGGGCGTGCATGAATCTTAAGATAGATGTGTCAGGTCCAACTGCAGAAGCCACACAATGGCTCAGCAAAATGGAACGTTTTGTTGCCTTCAGCAGTTTGTGGAAGCCCCCTTTCTCTGGAATCCTGTCTCCTTATGAATGCTAGCAATAATCAGCCTTGTGATTTCAACAATTTTATTTTATCTTTTAATTTTAGTTTTTTTATTTTTTTCACGTCAGACGGGTAATGCGCCCACGTCATAACAAGGTTTGAGGGAGACACACCTCATGCATTATAAGATGCGAACACCCAATCATCAGGCTCATGAACCAAAGGATCATTTCAACAATTTTAGTTTTGTTTTTTTTTTATGTATTTAGTACAGGGTCTAAAGGGTCTCACCACACAAATCAGACTCAGTGATCCTCCTGTTTTCAGCCTCCCAAGCACTGAGATTACAGGTGTGTGCAACCACGCCCAGCCCAATTTGAGCAATTTTGGTAGGTGTGGCTGGTATCTCAGTGTGGTTCAATTTGCATTTTCCTGATGAATGATATTGTGCTTTTTTTTTTTTTTTTAGTGTACTTCGTTGCCTTTCCATATACTCTTTAATGAAGAGTTGGATTAAATCCTTCAGCTTTGGCTGTTTTCTTATAATTCAGTTTTGAGAGATCTTTACATGCTTGGTAAATGTATTCTAATCTGTGGCTTATCTTTTTATCTCTTTAACAGTGGATTTTGTAAAATAGATACAAATTAAATTTTATTTAT